TGTACAGAAATAGCAATTGGTGATCACAGAAGAGAAATTATTTTCCTACCAAGAATTCTTTTACAACCCTCCACCCAAGATAAATATCTTGTCTAATTCACTAGGAATCAATTCCCAATAAAACTATGTTTTATTATGCTAATCAATAAAGCATAAGGACAAACTTTAAAAACCATTGACATGTATTAAAAAAAATCAGTATTTTCACATGGACAATTGTACATTGTCTTGTCACGCATAACTACTGTCTTAGTTGTTAAAGTTATTATTGAGCCAACAATTGAGAATTACCTAAATAACAATTGCACAAGGAATATTGTGTATCAAGAATTGAAAAAAAATGGCTAAACTTTCCTTCAATTTTTGTTATATATGAATAGCATAACTAGGGTTCCTTTTGTGTTTTATCTTCTGCCACTCTCACTCTCATCGTCTCTTTGCTTCTCCATTCGTCTCTCTCAATCTCATCCATAGTTAAGCATTATAGCAGTAAGTGATCATGAGCTTCCCCTTTTGCCTTATACTCTGTACATTGGTACATGGTGTATGTGTACAGTTCAGCTAACTTGCGATCAGATTTTGATTTGTTTTAATTTGATGTTATGATGCAGGTTGCATTAGAATCGGAAGACATGAATACCTAAACCCCAAGGTCTAATTCACCTTCAAGATGTGTGTGTGTGTGTGTGTGGACGCGTCATGGAGAGAAAGAGGGATTTTTTAGTTATGGGTGACTTATATGGGGTTTTGTTTTTAGTTCTGATTATCTAATCTGTTTTGTGTGTGCAGTCACTGTCTAATGCATGTGGGGTCAAAGGCAGGAAGAAGAGAAGAGTGATTCTGGGTGGTAACAAAGAGAACAAAAAACTGAAGATGACAAGCAGCACCAACGACTTAAATTCAATCCGAGTTATGTACTTGAAATCAACTCGGATTGAGTAGCTCAAGTTGAAAGTCGAGCTTGAGTAAGATTAGAGTTAAAATTTTTGTACCTCGAGTCAGACATGTGATTAGGGTTGTCCATGGGCTGGGCTGGGTAGTATAGGTCCAACTCTTTATCCAAGTGAATTTTTGGACGGGCCAGACTGAGGGTAAGAATAGGCTACTCGCAGCTCAACGCTACGAGCCTAGTGGGCATGCCTTTAGAGTGAGCTTGTTGACAAATTTATTTAAAAATAATGAATATTTTAATATTTGTATAAATTATATTTTTGAATAAAAAATATAGTCAAAATAGATAAAAATAAAATAATTAATCATTTTATTTTTGATTACGGGATAAACTATATCCAATAGAATGTATACATCCCAATTAGGTTCATACCTACTCATTTATCTATAATTTGCATTTACTCTATCATTTAAAAGTTATGCTTAATACATAAAAAAAACATATATNTCCAATAGAATGTATACATCCCAATTAGGTTCATACCTACTCATTTATCTATAATTTGCATTTACTCTATCATTTAAAAGTTATGCTTAATACATAAAAAAAACATATATATACAATATTTATAGTATTTAAATTTTCAAATTCTAACATTGAGAGATTTATTTTAAAATTTCAAATTTAATTATTTAAAAATATAATTTTTTTCAAAAATAGGATGTGTGGGCTGAACTTGGCGGATAGGATTTTGGGCGGGGTCTTAGACGGGGTTTTAATAGATTTTTTAGGGCAATTTCAAGCCCTTTTTTTTAAGGACATTAGACTCGGACTCAGGTAGACTAATTATCAAATTTATAAAATGTTAGAT